CACAAAAGAATCTCTACGGCAATGCAGTCTTTCTACTTACATAAATTCTGTGTAAATTAACAGGAAACACCAGAGGGGGAATAATTGAAACCCCAAGAGTCTCTCCAAATGGGAGTTGACGTTGATTTCTTGCCCTACCAGCCCGAAATCATCACGATGAACTTGAGGTAACTCAAGCTACTTAAATCATTCTCTTGTAGAGTGGTTTCACACATCATGCCATCCACGTCAATGACATTTTCCCTGTTTGACCGATGAGCAAGAGGAAGCCAGGGGAGAAAATCAGTTATTCCAGGTCAGGAAGATCAAGTGTTGAATGGCAAGGCCAAGATCAGACCAAGGAGCTCCTTAGCTGTCCAATCCAGTGTTTCTCCCACTGCTTTACCTTCAGGTCTGGAATGGGTCGCGGGGAGCTCGAGGTGGACCAGCATCCTACCTTCTTCGTTTTTATTTATTTTCCTGGCTGCCCTTCCCTCAGACGGCTACAAAAGGGCAGTGGGCTTGATGTCAGGAGACAGAAATTCTAGTTCCGGTTCTGCCACAGAAGGCGGGCGAGTCTCAAGACGCGTCACTTCATGCTCTCCGGACCACACGTGCCCCGTTGTTATTTCCAACTCTGCCTCAGGGATAGTATGGAAAATGAAAGCAGAATATCTCTTGGTTAGTTTGTACCTTTGAATAAATTTGAGTTTTCAGACAGCAGCCAGGGCTTGAAGGGATGAGAAAGAGCAGAGAAACGGGGGTCATTCCAGTTGGATACGACGAAACAGGACTCGGAGGCTCAGAGTAAATATTTAGGGTGTGGAGATTAGATACACTGAGCTAGAGTCTTCTGTTTAAGACTCTTCCCTTTGACCTTCCCTGAACTCCAAGAGGGAGCTTAGAAGTGTGTGACCCTGTCCTGTGAGAATCTGAGGGTCAAAACTGTGTGAAAGTTAGAACGATGTCAGTCACTTTTTTTTTTTTTTAATGTTTATTTCTTTTTAAGAGGGAGAAAGAGAACGTGTGAGCGGGAGAGGGGCAGAGAGAAAAGGGGACAGATGACCCGAAATGGGTTCCGTACTGACAGCAGAGAGCCCAATGTGCGGCTCGGAACTCACGAACCATGGGACCACGTGACCTGAGCCAAAGTTGGCCACTTAACCAACTGAGCCACCCAGGTGCCCCCGGTCACTTTTGTTTGTTTGTTTGTTTGTTTTTTAATGGATTGATATGGTAGGTTTGGTGGCTTCCTTTTTACTGCCTTCCAGAATCAAGGAAATCCTTATCTATATCATTTAATTAATGCCTTTCATGGTATTCAGAGGCCAGTTAGCCTACTTCCTTTACATTTGCCTGAATGCCTGTCTGTGTCTTCTTCCAGGAAATTCAGAAATACTGATTCATCTGCCCTCCTCTCCTAAGCAGGCCAGTTTACCAGTAGTTATTAAGTCCAGCATTTCTATACGCAGGCATCACATAGAACACCAGAGTGATGTCTACACAGAGTACAGGACAATTTCCTTCCAGAGCAAACATGGTTAAACTATACACACAGAGATGGATAAGAGAGTGTGTTGTAGAGTAAGGGCCAGAGGGGGAAAAAAATAGAAATGATGTTCCGGAACACGGAGAGATTAGGGAAAAGGGTGGAAACGAGAGGGGGACAATAGAGTGCCTTTGAAATTGATAGCCTAGTGGTTTGCATAATTACTCTGGTGATTTTCAATCAGCATCTTTTAAAAAGTGTAGAATTGTGTAAAGTTTCTGGACGGAAGGGACTCAGTTTTGAAGCTCCATTTTGCTTTCCAGCTAAGGAACTGTCCAACGGGACAAGAGGTGACAATTCTTTTACAAGCAATTGCTCATAAGATTTCAACAGAGTAAGTGGCATTCGGATTATATGAGGGCAGTAAAGTTAACTACTTTCTTGTAGTTTTGTTTCATCGCACTAATAATCAAAACAATAGTAATCAGAAGCGACTCCACGGGTCAGCACCCGAATAGCAGGGTTTTTTTTTTTCTCTTCTTTATCTAAATCATGTAATGACCGCTTGCTTCTTTCCTATAAAAGCCTCTTGCTTTCCCCACATGAGCAAGACACTCTTCTCAGGCCTCTGGAATCTGTGTGCCCGAATTGCAGTTCTGAGATCACCAACGAAGGCCTTTCTTCTTTTTCAGTTTTGCCTCCTTTTCTCAGTCAACATAAATGGTATCAGAACAGCAGGGGATCTGAAGCGATGTACTATTCTGATTCTGGGACTGCCGTTGGATTTGAACATGGTACCTGCCTAAGCAGGCGGTTCGGGGTTCTGCCGGTGAGTCCTCTCAGTTCTGAACCTCACGATTATCATGATTTTTTTTTTAATTTTTTTTTCAACGTTTATTTATTTTTTGGGGACAGAGAGAGACAGAGCATGAACGGGGGAGGGGCAGAGAGAGAGGGAGACACAGAATCGGAAACAGGCTCCAGGCTCTGAGCCATCAGCCCAGAGCCCGACGCGGGGCTCGAACTCACGGACCGCGAGACCGTGACCTGGCTGAAGTCGGACGCTCAACCGACTGCGCCACCCAGGCGCCCCTCATGATTTTTTTTTAAGTAATCTCGCCACCCAACATGGGGCTCTAACTTGACTGAGCGAGCCACGAATGCCCCAACCTCCCTCTTTTCAGTTGACGCTTGGGCCCAGGTTTTGGGTGTCTGTCTTTCCTATGTGGGCTTTTGTCTGTCTGTCTGAACTACAGAGTTACTCTCGTCTGTCCGGTGCATACTCGGCGGGGCCTTTGGTTTGGAAAATTGCTGGGTGTCTGTTACAGGTCCATTTTTTGTAAGTTTCTGTCTTGTGGGATCACTGTGACTTGTCATTACAGTGGCCACTCGGGGATCTTTGGAGATTCCAAAATTAGTGTATTTGCGGGCACAACTGGAAAAAGAAAAAACCAAGCAGCTTGAGTAGAAGCATAGTTCCCTTCGTATTTGGAGGCCTCTGACCAATCAAATGATTCTAAACCTGCTTCCTCAGGAACGAAATTACCTAAACTTTCTAAAGCTGACTCTGACCTCTCTCAGCGACGACCTAAGCTCAAGGAGCTTCTGAGAAACGCTACACCCACTGCTTGTCTTCCACCTTCTCCCTCCTGCTCTCCCCCTGGCGATCCTAGTTGCACAGAACTTCCATTCTCTCATATCAACCCGGAGGTTCCTCTAGACCCTCCAGCGATCCGAGCTCCTTCTCAACTTAAACCCAATGAAGGACGCTCTAAGACTTTATCAGTCATTTATACTCCGTGGACCAAGGCACGACCATGAACTACTTACTGCCAAGGACTTTCCCCATGCCCTTGAAGACCCTCTAGGATTTGCTAGGGGATTCGCTTTAGTTATTCAGACCCATAAACCTGGTAATTCTGAGCTTTATCAACTTCTACGCATGCTTGTAAATGAAGGTCACGTAAGGGAATGAATGGGAAAAGTAGGCCGGACAGAGCCTGTTGATTTTTCTAAGTGAAAAGCTGTAGGTAAAACAGAAACTTTTAAGCTAGCTGAAGATTTACATAAAACTATCCCTCAGGGTTTCCAAAAGACTATAGATTGGAGAAACAAAGCAACGATGTAATCAGTGGCCAATCGAATCTGGTTTTTGATTATTATGATAGATTAGAGAAAAACTTGTAAACAATACTTTGGTATTGACAAAATTAATCGTGAAAACCCATTTTTTTTAACTTTTTTTTTTCAACTTTTTTTTTTTTTTTGGGACAGAGAGAGACAGAGCATGAACGGGGGAGGGGCAGAGAGAGAGGGAGACACAGAATCGGAAACAGGCTCCAGGCTCTGAGCCATCAGCCCAGAGCCTGACGCGGGGCTCGAACTCCCGGACCGCGAGATCGTGACCTGGCTGAAGTCGGACGCTTAACCGACTGCGCCACCCAGGCGCCCCTTTAACTTTTTTTTTTTTTTTTTTTAATTTAACTCCAACTTTGTTACCTGTGAGACAGCATTGGCTCCAACAGCCTAGGAGCAGAAGGGCACAAACAGCAGGGGAACTCATGCTCATATGACCGAA